TGGATGATGACAGTGTTGGATAATGACAGTGTTGGATGATGACGGTGTCAGATGATGACAGTGTTGGATGATGACAGTTTTGGATAATGACAGTGTTGGATAATGACAGTGTTGGATGATGACGGTGTCAGATGATGACAGTGTTGGATGATGACAGTTTTGGATAATGACAGTGTTGGATAATGACAGTGTTGGATGATGACGGTGTCGGATGATGACGGTGTTGGATGGATAGCAGAGTTGGATTATACCAGTGTAGGATGATAGTGATAGATTAATAACTATTGATCTCACAGTGGAGAAAGTTACTACTAACAATGTTGGATGATAAAGGATGATGACAGTGTCGGATGATGACGTTGTCCGATGATGATGGTGTTGGATGATGAGAGTGTTGGATGATAACGGTGTCAGATTATAACGATGTTGGTTGATAAAGGTGTTGGATGTAAACAGCCTCTCACCGTTTCAGCAGCAGACTGAACACCTCCTCTTCTTCCTGAGTCACTCTCTGTCTCTGCCGGTCACCCTGCATCCTGACGCTGGCCCAGCTCACTACTCCTTCCTCCTCCTCCTCATCATCTTCATCCTCGTCTTCTTCTTCTTCCTGTCCATTCTGCTCTCTCCGCCCACCTGTGTTGGACTGGTGGCAGACGTCCTCAGGGCTGAAGCAGGACTTTCCTAGAAGGCAGCGGTTACTGCTGAAAGCAGAGTCGGCCTCCTCGGCGGCCTCAGCCTCCGCTCGCATCACCTGAACAACAAGAACACCTTCGGACTATTGGACCAGAACCCCAAACTCATTCAGCCCAGCAGAACCAGCTCACCTCGTCCAGGTCCGTTTCCCTGTAGCAGCGCAGCGGCACGGCGTCCAGATCCGTCTCAGAGTATTTGATGGACCGTCGGATGATGCCGGTCTTGGGGGCGGGTTCTTGGGGGTGGGGGGTGACCAGCTCCACCTCAACCTGCTGGACCTCGTGATGCGAGAGCTTTTGATCCCGCAGTTCCCAACACCTCCTCTGATTGGATGGCTGCAGGGGGAGGGGGGAGGTAGGGGAGGGGCTGGGTGAGCAGCTGGTGGGAGGGGTCGTGGACGAAGCGTCTGTGTGAAGAGAGAAATACATGAGGAGTCCGGACCTGAAGACACCGGACCTGCAGGTCTGAGCCTGAGCCAACCAGAACCAGAACCAGAACCAGATGCTGATTCAAGTTTAAACAGACCTGTAGAACTAAACTCTGCACCGGTCAAAACCTGAATGGACTGGGTTTTACGTTGTTAGTATAGTTAAAGTAAAGAACATTTGACAAGATTTCTGTCGGTTCTTTGGGATCCATCTAGCTTGGAGCTAGTGCAGTGCATCATGGGAAATGTAGTCTGATCAGTGAGAACGACAAACTGCTGTTTCTTTGATAATAAATTAAAATAAATGGTTTGACAGCTCAGACAGGTCTGAACAGGTTTATGTCTCAGAACTTTGAACAGATTCTAAACTGGTCAAGAGATGATCTCACATTTTCTCTATTGGTTTTCCATTCCCCTTAAAGACCCAGTAGTTCTGAGGTCTGATATGATCTCCATACAGGTCTGGTTCAAACATCTGACTGAAGCAGAATAAAAGTCCAAACAGAACCATCAACTTCCAGCACTGATTTAGAAGCTCCTTCAGTTCCTGGCAGAACTTTCTGCAGCTCAGAGAGTAAAGACTGACCCTGCTCCAAAGAACGAACCCAACACCAGCTGGTTCTGACGGAACCAAGCATCAGTGCTTTGTCTGGGTAAAGAACAGAACCGACCCGATGGAGGCAGCCGGCACTTTGAGTAAAGAACAGGAAGTGAAGGTGGAGGCTTCTGACGTCTGCTAAGCTTCTGCTAATTGGCTTACTGGAAGCCGCTTGTTTACTGCTCCCAGTCCGACCAGCTAAGCAGGTGGAACTTTTCATCAATGGTTCTGAGCAGAACCCAGGGAGGGGTTGATAGTGTCCAACCTTTGCTACGATCACTGTGGTCCGTCGGGCCTCCGAACAGGAACTCCCACTTTGCTCTGGCGATCTTCTGAGAGTGAGAAGACGGGCCGGATGGAGAGCCGCCGTCCAGCTGCAGGAGTAGAGAAAACACTGGTTTGTGTTGCTATGGGAACAGAGTCAGGAACATAGGGTCTCCATGTTTAGATAAAGCAGGTCTGTCACTAGAGCAGATCCAGGAAACCAAATATGAATCTAAGCAGAACATCTGATACCAGAACCAGCAGGTTTTCATTTCTTTAGAGGAACAGTCCGGATGTTTCCATAGGAACAGCTAACAGAACATTTCCGACCTGTTAAGGTCAGCCTTACATGGATTCTGGTTCTGAAAAGTTCTGATGAATCAGAACTTTTCAGAACCATGTTGCTCTGTTGTGTCTGGGTCAGAATCCCCTCCAGTTTAATTCAGAACAAACAGAACCCATCACTGTGAGGACAGAAACCAGAGTTCAGCTAGACCCAACAGAACCAAGGTTACAGAACACAAATGGAACCTGCGTGTAGTTTCGGACTCCAGATCTGTTCCACAATAAGCTAAATATCATCTGCAAACATGAAAATAAAATGCTACCACAGTCCAGATTCACACCATCATATCAGAACCACTCCTTCAGTCCTTTCACTGGACGCGGTTTGTCAAAGAATATACTAACATTTTCTGCTGTTGGCCCATAAACTATAGACCTCTACAGTCCTTTACGACCCACGGATCAGTTTCCTGAACCAGAACCTAACGTTTGAAATCAAGACTGATGAGCTCTTCTCTCCATCTCTGAGCAGGAATCAAAGCTCCCTGCTGCCTGGGGGAGTGGCGGCCTAGTGGTTAGGGCGTAGACCTTGGAATCCTGAAGTTCTGAGTTCGAGCCCCACTCCAACAGACTGCCACTCTGGGTCCCTGAGCAAGACCCTTAACCCCCCCATTGTTTCCTGGGTACCGCACAATGGCAGCCCACTGCTCCCCAAGGGGATGGGTTAAAATGCAGAGAGTTAATTTCTCCAATAGTCAATAGTCCAAAGGTCAATAAAGTTTAATTATTATTAATCATTTAAAGTCACAGGGAGGCAACCGTTGCATTTCCTAATTCTCCTGAGTGGTGCCCGACTTTACACAAGTGAAGAAAGTGAATGTGATTGGTCGTTTATCAAGGGGGCAGGATTGTTGTGGCAGACGGTTTGCAAGCATTCTGGCTGGTTTGTCGGAAGCATCTTGCTAACTCGTTAGCAACTTAGTGCTAGCAGGTTCCCAATGGGAAATTCCATTGGGACCAAGTAGCACTAAATTGGTGACTTAGAAACGACGCTGTCAAGGAACGCTATGGACAGCGGAAACATGCAAGAGGAGGAGAGTTTAGTGTCGGAGGTCGTGGATGAGTCTCCTCCGTCATCCATTTTTTATTTAGAGGAGGAAAGCGGGGACGAAGATGTTGTGGAAGAGGACGCCAGGGCGGCAGAAGCTTGGTTTGGTGTAGAAGGCTTCCAGCCGTACATGTTTGAGCCCTTGCCTCGCAACGCTGCCAGTTCTGTTAGCTCTACGCCTGCCGAAGACACAGACGTCCATCCCCGTGAACACTGGGACGCAACTCAATGGGAAAGGAAAGGATTCTGATTTCAACCGTTGCATATATTAGCTGCGACATATGAATCAAGATGCTATGACCAAAAAAATGGGATTGACAGATGACCGTTGATATACGATTGGCCGAATTTAGGTGTTCAGGCTGACGTAGAACTAAGTGGCCTGCAGAAGATAACGAAAAAAAACAGATTTTAAGACAGGATTTTTTTTTTTTAATAGAAATTTTCTAAATTATTGTCTGAAAAATATGGTGTGATAAAGAGCACATTTATATACATGTTTAAGCCAGAATGATTTCACATTTAAATATGATTTCCCTACGACTTTAAGGTTCTGGTCAATCTTTTCAGATCTGACTCCAGACTTAAACTACCGTAGATGCTTTAGACGCCTCACAGCCCTGACCTCTATGTGGAGGAATCCTGCTGGGGTCTGAAACTCTGTGCTTTTGGGGTTTTCCTTCATAATCTTCTGGATGCAGGAAGTCCACATCCATGACATACACTAGCACCAAGGTCCCCACACTCCTCCTTGGTCTCAGATATGTTGCAACCATGGCGACAAACCCCAGCCAGCTTGCTAGGGCCACCTTTCAGCTCACTCAGTTGGGATGAAGACCTCCTGGGTTCTGAAACGTCTCCAGAGGAGATCTTTCATTAAAGTAGGGTCTCCGATCCCAACAAGCACATCACCTATGGTGCAAATAACAAAAGGCTTCATCATCTGCTTGTTGGAAACAAGAATATTAATGTTCCCTGATTCATTTAGACAGCTTTAAGAACACACTGTCAGAGCCGGGATAGAAAGGAACCGTCATAAAGCCTATTCTTTCTAAAACACATTTATTGTTTATGGAAAATCTACTCAAACACAGCGAGGACCACCCTGTCCAGCCAACCTGTATCCCTGAGCCGCCATCCGCGGTACCGTGACTGGACTGACTGGAGGTCTCAGGGGACAGGCTTCCTGTCACCCCACTGGAGCTTGAAGAGGACATCCCAGTTGCTCCACTGGGATCCTGAGCCTCTTTCTGGCTCTTAGGCATTCCCAAAACCAGCAACTGGCACTCCTGGGCCAGCTGTTTCTGGACTCCTCGCGTGTCCTTTCTACGGCACGGATCGCCGCTGAGAGCAGGACTTCTAGAAGACGCCTTACTGACGGTATCAGCTCTGTCCACAAGAGGTCCAGACTGTTTCTGTTCCCTGGCAGTCCAGCTAACCAGTGGAACCTCTGAATGTTGACTGGACACACTTCTCTTGGTAATCACAGGGCTCACGGCCGGTGGCCCATCAAACAGGTGGTCATACTGCCTCTGGTCCATGGCGGATGGTCCGGGGTTTCCAGAGGACCGAGTCGGTTGGTAGGGATGCAGACTGGACACGTCTTTAGATGGTGATGGTGTCCGTCTCAGTTGGGGGTCCAACACTGGTGACCCAGAGGCAGATATCCGGTCCAACTGACTGGGAATGGCAGGAGATGCTGATGGAGGAGGTACTTTTTTGGACATCATGGGAGAAATGCGTCCTGGTTTGGTTTGAGGTGCCAGCGTTTCTGTTCTTCTGCTGTGGTTCTGGTTCTCCGTCAGCTTCGGCTCAAGATGCCGGAGGTGAGATTCTTTCAGGGATGGTCCTGAATATCTGGGACTCTCGGCTATCAGTGAGTCCGCCTCAGAGGGTGTTGGCGAGGGGGTCCATTTGTTCCACCTGTCAGCGGAGGTTCGGTTAGACTCTCCAAGTGCCTTATAATCCAGTTCAGTGATGGAGTATGGGGAGATGCTCCTCCTGTCACTGATGGGACTGTTGGCATCACTTGTTCTGCTACTGCAGCGGGGCGGATGGGAGCTCTTACTGTCTGACTGATCACTGCAGCTCCCAGCTTCCCATGGGCAATGACCGGAGTTGGTGGTTTTATCATGACATCTGTTACTGATGCCATGGTAGGAGTTCCTAGCATGGTGCTCAGCCCCTGCAGGAAAACTGCTTCTCGGGATCTCATGCTGAATGTCTGTAGGTCTCCCTGCAGGCAGAGGAGCCTGGAATGCGTTGAACCTATGACCTTCGCCCTGCACCCAGGGCCTCTGTGGACTTTGAGGAGGACCATGCGGTCGAGCTGATGAGTAGAATGAGTCGCCAGTTTGAGCAGACAGGCGATCAGACGCAGGACTTCTGGGTAATCGGTTCAGTGACCCATGACAGAGTCTCCTATCCATCTCTAGGAGATCTCTCCTGGATGGTAGGGTCCGAGTACTACGGGACTGGACAGGGGAGCCACCCAAAGAGCGGCAGCGTGGAGCCTGAGATGGACTGTTGTTCTCTGATCTATGACCTGCAAACCTACGCCTCAGTTCTGGAGACCCAAACTCCTCTAAGGCCCTATGGGTGGCGTCTCTGGCCACCGCCTCCATGGTGGCCTTCGATAAGGAGGGGGAGGAGTCTCTCTTAGGCTGCAGCGTGTCGCCTGACGTCTGATCGCTGTACCACACTGGATCACTCATCCTCTTCTGCTGATTCTCCGTTCTCCTCAGGTAACGGTCAGCATCGTGCTGGTGCCAGACGGTACCGTGTCCAGACATGCTGTTCACGCTGCCATTCTCTATGTACCCATAGGACACCAAAGATGTCTGTCCGTTTTCATCTAGCATTGCTGGGGCATGGCGGGACCTCGGACTGGTGCTGTAGGTGGAGGGGATGCTAAGCCAGCGGGGGGGTGAGGATGACTGGGGGTTGGCCACCTTCCCATAGCAGGGATCCAAGTCAGGTGTGCATCCAGGGGAGCCATAATGGTTTACAATGGCTTTGTTGGGGGTCAGAATCTCAAGCAAGTGGCTAAAACTTTCATTTAAATCATCCTGATGATGGAACTGGGCAGGAGATGGATGTTGGCAGCTGACTGAATGCCTGGAAGATGACTGGGAGGAGGCCAGGCTGTGGTTCCCACCCGCTGAACAGTAAGGCGTCACCGGGGATGAACTCCGGTTGGAACTGGACCGACTGGAGCTCCTCTGAGAGTGAGAGACGATATCTGGACACTGTAGCATCAACTGGTTGGCGCCATTATCGCCTGTACCCAGAAACTCCTCCTCCCCCTCAGAAACAGAGCGGACCTCCACATACAGGTGGAGCACTTTACTTGGCTGAGACATGGTTGCCCCTTTAACACCGGGGTCTTTCCTTTTGCTTAAATACGCAGAGGACTGCTGGGGTCCCGTAGAAGGCCGAGCTCTCTGGTCAGTCTGAACACCAGATCCATCCCCCATCAGCTCACACGTCCTGGAACCTGCAGCAAGAAGCACAGAGAAGAAAATCTGTTCAAATCTTTCCTCAGTTTTATCTAACCTCTGTGGTTAACCATCTCAGGAAGAGGTTCCAACCATTGCATTTCCGAATTTACACGAGTGAATAAAGTGAATGCAATTGGTCGATTATCAAGGGGGCGGGATTGTTGTGGC